TGGTGTATATAGACCAGTATCAGTCCTGTGCAGAGTTGAATGGCCTTGTCACTATGTTTGTCTATATAAACCCAAGAGCGTCTTTAGTTTCATCGTATTGTTTCATACAATAAGACTCTTGCAAGTTCCCTAATTTGTAAAGTCATCTTCAGTCAGCAGCATTTGCAAGCAAAAAGCTGGAAGCTTTGTGCTCCAAAGCAAAGTTCATCACAGGCGTTGGAGCCTCGACAACCAGAACAGCCTTGTTCAAATCTGCGTCTCCACCGACACAAGCAAGATAGCACGTAGATACGCAAGGCGTGGACACATCATAGAAGATCACATCCTTCAAACTCCAACTACAACCAACTCAAATGTACAACTGGTCCCGGAACACAACTGTCGCTCTCACTCTAATGTCATCCATATGTGCATTACATTACAAATTGCATTCCAGGAGCTCTAGTTCAATTCCGATAAGGTAAAATCTGAGTTTTGCCTGTCCTCCACTTTGAGAAGGTCCTTCTCTGTGTCTGTAGGAAGCTTCGCTGCAGTGACAAGGCGGCCACCGTGAAGCATCATGTCTTCCACTTGCAATGGTAGCCACCTGACAAGGTAGGGTGTTGAGTCCACCACAAGGCCATGCTTGCCATCCAGCTCAAGAACCTGAGAGAGAGAGAGAGACTTTGACAATTCCCAGAGACAACCCCAGGACATAATCTATTGCGTATTTAAACAATGTGGACAATGTCTGTTGTTTCATTCTGTTTGGTCTGTAGATGTCCATGGCTTTGGGCCAACTATTGGCACCTGGCTTATTTAGATTGACTAAGGACAAACAAAACACGCGAACATTTCAGTCAAACAACTGCGCCCTCAGGAATGACAGAACTCACCCAAAGGTACGACGTGTTCTTCCACTTCTTTTCTGCTGCCAGCTTCCGAGCTTGCAAGCAGCTGAGACCATTCTGGACGAAGTGGAAAGCTGAAGTCCTCTTCTCTGCATTCTTGAGCATCTCACCAGGATGCTTCAACCCTGTCTCTGACAAGGTTGTCCTGCTAGCACACAAAACGTCCTTGCGAAGGAAACCAGAGGAAAATTGAGCACCAATCTGCGAAATGGCTGCCAACGGAGGTTGGGTTGTATCCAAAGTGTTGCCAAAGAGCTGGTTGGTGGTTTTGATGCATACAGAGCACACCTGAGCTGGCGCAGCCTTCTTGTGCTTGGAATGCCTGCTCTCAGCATCCCTCAACCGGCCGAACGTGTGTTCAACACTCACTGTGTTCCCACGCGAAGGCACCCATGGTTGCATGACTTTGCGGACATGCGCTGAAGAAGCATCCCATCCAGACTCTTCACAAGCTGTCATCACCTCCCGGTAAGCTTGCCAGCGCAAATGTTTGCATTGCGCCAGCCATTGGGCCTGCTTCGCCTCTTCCTCCAGAACAAAGGTCCACTCCTCCTTCATTTTCATCATGGCTTCCTGCGCCCACTTCCGGTCAAGCGCAGTGTCCTGCTGGAAGAAGAGAATCGCATTGAAAGGCGGAGATTCGTGAAGAAGACGGAACCTGTTGGTGTGCTTCATGAACTTCAAGTTGAAGGTCAAAATGTTCTGCAACACCTCAAACTCGTCTGAATTTTCTTCATTTGGCAGTGCAGCCGTGCCAGCATTGAAGCTGTTGATACCCATCTCAAACAAGTTGCACGGACCCAAGGACTCAATGAATCCTCTGCTCGACCACGTTGGGAAACCAAGGAGAACTTGCTTGATCCTGTCAATGTAGCAGCCATCGTTGTTGGTTCGTACCTGAATCAGGTGTGCAACAATCAAACCCTGAACTCCCAATCTGGACCGGTAAGAAGCTGGGTCATTGAAATCCGCCCACACCGCTTGTCGGTGCAGGGCGTGCTATGGGGCTCTCTAAGCTCTGCTGCTATTGCAAATAGCTTTGCTAGGGGGGGGTGCCCTTTTTTTTCGCGCGTGCGCGGCTATGGTTGGGCTGCAGGGCCACTGGGGAGAGCATTTTGGAGGAGTTTTTGTGTTTTGGGGTGGTTGCTGCGTTGATTCTTGCTCGGCCTGCAGGGCCACTGCATTGGAGGTGTATTTTTGGATGGCTGCCGAAGTTGTATCACCATTATGGGCTCCAAGGTGGACGAAGTTGGCCCCAAGATGGCTCCAACGCAGCCGTAAGACAGCCAACCAGGCGCCCTTTTTTCGCGCGGTTGAGCTGCAGGGCCACTGGGGAGAGCGGTTTGGAGGAGTTTTTGTGTTTTGGGGTGGTTGCTGCGTTGATTCTTGCTCGGCTGCAGGGCCACTGGGGAGAGCGTTTTGGAGTTGTACTTTTGGATGGCTTTTGGCAATGCCGAAGTTGTATCACCATGGTAGACGAAGTTGGCCCCAAGATGGCTCCAACGCAGCCGTAAGACAGCCAACCAGGCGCCTTTTTTTCGCGCGTGCGTGGCTATGGTTGAGCTGCAGGGCCACTGGGGAGAGCGTTTTGGAGGAGTTTTTGTGTTTTGGGGTTTTGCTGCGTTGATTCTTGCTCGGCTGCAGGGCCACTGGGGCCACTGGGGGGGGGCGTTTTGGTGGTGTATTTTTGGATGGCTTTTGGCAAGGCCAAAGTTATATCACCATTGCGGGCCCCAAGGTCGACGAAGTTGGCCCCAAGATGGCTCCAACGCAGCCGTAAGACAGCCAAACTGGCGCCTAGATGGCTGCACTTGTCCCCAACCTGGCGTCTAGATGGCTACTTCCATTTCACTAACTTTGGCTGTTCGTGCGCGGCGGCTGTCGACGCGAAGCGTCTTGAATATGTCAACACAAATGGAATGCGTTGTTGGAGGTCTTGGTATCCACGCACTATCAATGATGAACATGCTTTGACTAGAATAGTGCGTCTAATTGGAATGCACTGTTGCGCTGGCTGGCTGCGCTTATATAAAGAATAGATGGATATTTGATATTTGTGCGATTTGTGTGGTACGATTCATAAGAGAATCATACATTCATTTCTTTGGGGTTTTGATCATTTCTGAAATACTTAAGGCAGCTCTTTACTAACTACATGAACTTTATATATATACTTACATACACAAGCAGTATTGTATCTATATATATATATAATATATGTTTTTAACTGGGCGCCATTCGAGTTAATACTCGTCATCATCACTTTGCAACAAAAGATGTAAATTTCGAACACACACAAATGCCTTTGTTAAAAATCTGGCAGAGTAGCCTCCTCAGCTGTGAACCATCTGAAAGGCCGCAAGACTTTGTGGATGCCCTTTGCCAGAGCTAACTTGCTCGGCTGCAGCAGGACCTCCAGATCCAGACTTTCCAAAGAGTTTCTATTCTCTAACACTCCAACCCACGCAATTGCTAAGGCACTACAGGGTAGCGTCTCAATACAAACGTGGTTTTGTCTACCGATGCCTATTTTTACATGGGCATCTTCCATTTAAGCATGACAAGTTGGACCTGTCACACATAAAACAATGACCAAGCCGCTCGCAAAACCTTGGGAAGGATTGACCACTTCTGACCTGTCGCTGGGTCAGAGATGCACTTCGCTGCAAAGTTCCATGGGTTTTCGCCTTCAAGAACACAAGCAGCCATGATGGCAAAAATGCGGATGTGCCACTGCCTCACCCACTTTGGAAACCAACATATGTTTCAAGACTTTTCAGGGTATATAGTCACAAGCTTTCAACAACAGTAACAACAACAACAACAGGAACGGACTGAAAAACGTTGGTGACACACTTCTAAACTCCCCTTCAAGTCGCTCCAACAGCACACTCAAGCCGTCCACCAGTGCATCCCAGCGGTTCATGTTGAACTCCAACGAATCCTTGCGACCCTTCTTCTGACTCCAGTCAAGGATCCTTTGCTTGACATGCTCGAAGTTGTTTGGGTCACAATGCAAGTCTTCACAGATCTTGGACATCAAAGGTGCAAGCAAAGGGTCGTTTGGCTCCATGCTAGATGCATAGATCCAGCATGCTTCCTTCAAACGTCGGCCAAAGCGAGAGGTGCTGTAGGGGGCCATGTCAAACTTCATGACCAAACCCAGCTCCCTGCGAATCACCTTCAAAACAGGAGAAGCAGAGTTGAAAGCCATGTCTTGCAAGCGAGCCATTTTGTGGCAGGTGTCCTGGCAAGAGGAACAATTGGACACGCCTTCCAAAAGCACGTTTGCACAGTAGTGAATTTGGAGAGGTATGCATGCTCCGACCAAACATCTGCTCAACAAACAGACCAAGTATCCCTGATTGGCAGCACAGAACATTCCTCTGCAAGGGCTGAAGCAAGGGAGTAGCCAGGGCTGCCCTCATCCATCACAAGTGCAAGCCGAAGATGGCCACCAAAGGTCTCTGTTAGGGTTGACTGCCATGTAGCCTCAGCAGTCTCCACATTCCAGTAGAAGACCTTGGCCACGCCTTCAGCGTCCTTGTAAGTGCAGCGCTGCTCACCAATCTTCACAGGCCGCAAAGCCACCGTGGGAGAAGTGTCAGACCACCGGAAGTCCATGAGTTTGTTCAGGCTTTGCTGGATTCCAAGCAACAGGTGGCGGGTCTTGACCTTCTCAGAGTACTTTGTCTCTGCAAACTGGACATCAGGAGCCAGCTTGCGCTTGGAGCCACGCTGGCTATCCAAAGCTTTTTGTACACCACGCTGACGCTTCCCTTCTAAAGGCACCATTTGGTGCATTGCCACCGGGGGCAATGGAGCATCTTCCAAGGCACCACGCTTCTCTGTAACAGGCTGGAGTGTCTCCTTGACAGCCACCATGAACATCGGAGGCGCTGAACAAACGAGTTGCCCAACCTGCGCCTGGACCACCATGACCTCCAAAGGCTCCAAAGGAGCAACGCCAACCTTTTATAGGTCAGTTGTTAGTTAAGACACCACTGTCACAGTGATCAATATCATCCCTTTCAACACCTTGAATAGATCATACACACATTTTCAATCCACACGCGCGCACACACAGACTTGTCACCTTTGTAACTCCATTCATTGCCCAAACAAAGACAGAATGGTTGCCCATCCAACTATATAGTCTTCATGTGTTGAAGGCCGGGCCTCCTGTCCAACTACATCACTGCAATCCTGGAACACAAGAAGGGAAGGAATGTCACCATCGTGAATGCTTTTGCAAAGGCGTAGGTGAAGCTCTTGGCCAGCTTGGATGTAGTACGCCGCTGCAAAGTGAGCTGCAGCAACTGTTCCTTGCGAAGACTTATTCCCAACAAGGCCCACCTCCACAAGATCCTCATTGCCACCATTCGCAGTGCCACAAAATCCAGAGTTCCTTGCCAAGAACCTGCGCAAGAGTTCTGTCTTCAACTGGAAGGCCCTGACATCCCGAGCACAGGAAGCATCTGTTGAGGATTCAACATGCATCCTGTCTGAAAGGATGCCTGGTTGGAGAAGGCTCTCATCAACACGTTGCGCAACGATGTGGAAGAGTCTTCTTTGAATTCGCGAAATACGAACATCACCAATCTCTGCATCCACTGGGATCCGCATCCAAAACCAAAGGAAATGATGAAGCGGAGCTGTAGCAGCGTTGCTTTGGCGAGAAGACCCCAAAGCCATTTGGTTCATCCACCTGATGATGCGCTGCAGGACTCAGACATCTAGAAATCATACACAGCAGGACTTGGTACACCTGCTACTATGAATGATGTGCGTGACTGCTTCACAAAAGGCACCTGCTGCACAATGCGCAGCCATTGATTTCATCTAGTTGTTTGATTCAACACACCTTAAACAAACACGCACATGGCACCCCTAGACTCAACATGAACTCAATCAAGGACCAATGGCCTCCCTATCTCCAAAGGTTTGTTCAGCACTTGTACATGTTCATTGTTTTGCTTTTTTGCGAGCCTGTTCTTCAGTGTTCGCTGGTCTTGTGGCGAGAAGTGCTTCCAGAATTCCCCCAAGTCAACCAAGCGCTCCTCAACCGGAAGTTGAACAGTAGGCAGTAGCTTCAGCACCCACTTGGCATCAGAAATGCGAGAGCACATACGCGAAAGAAACTTGACTGCCTCCTCCTGGCATTGTAGAGCAAGGCCCCTGGTTTGAGCAAGAGCACCCAGGAGAAGCATAATTCCCAATGAGCTTGCTGCAGCCCATGGAAACCGGGGGTCCATGGGAAGTGGTGGTGCTTGGTGTGCACCTTTGTAGCCAACTTCACGAATGACATGCGCTTCGGCCACCCCCCACAAGCTTCTCAGATTCACAAGGTCCTGTTTGTTCCAATTCTGACTGTACCATGCATAAAATGCGGTGCGGGGAATCACTTTCGGCCAGAACTCCTTCACAATGACAAGATGCCGGTACCCTTGCCAGTTGGCTTTGCTCAAAGGTTCAGAAACCTGAGCGGAAAACCACAAACCACTGAGCAACAAGTGAACACACAAAACAACTTCCCACTGCGTGAGACTACAATGTAGAGTAAACCTGTTTCAGTATCACTGTCACTCCCAAGAACCTGGATCACTACGATAGTTTGCTCCATGCACTGCAGGTACATATGTTTCCATGCCGGTAAGGACGCTTCCTCTCCCTCCTCAATGTCAAGGTCAACAATCGCCTGCATCATAACACTAGGAAACGGGTTGGTTTGATGACCTGGCCGAATTGGAAAGTCAGCCTTCTTGCGAATCAAGTCGACAGCGCCATTCAAAACAGAAGGCTTCACAGGGCCGTTCAAAGCTGCAAAGCACTTCCCTGATCGTACTGCGGCATCCAGACCCATGACCAAACGATCCATCTTGGCGCGGTCAAGGACCTTGTCACCCAGCATGTCAGCCACAGCACGTACATGTCGGGTCTGCAGGGCAAAAAAAGAGCAGAAACACAAAGACCCAGCAGACACTCGCATCCAAATTGCATTCTGCTATTCACTTTGTCAGAGTGATGGGAAACAATCTCGTGTACCTACTTGATACTGTAGGTACCACAGAAATACTACATCACAAATAGTTGGGCAAAACTCACTGCCCTATTGAAAGCCGCCTCACTGTGCTGATCTGGTTCTTGGGAATCTCCGGATTGATCACCACTTTCCGCGCGACGTAGTCTACTGGAAAGCTCATCATTCACCCCACGCAAGGCATCTGGAGGAGCAGCGCTGCCCTCAGCGCTATGACTCCCCGGCATTGCACCAACAGAAGGTCGATGGTTCAAAGTGGTTTCCTACCGAGACAGGACTGTACAGAGGAATCAACAAGAAACAACATATGAGTCCAGAGTATTTTTGGGTTTCTTACTTTGGTAGCACTATTGACTCGTCCAGCAGCTACTCGCCAATCTGCTTGTCTGCGGTTCAACCAGTTTGGAGCAAACACACCAATGCAGAAGTCAGTACTCATACATCATACTATGTCTGTGTTCGGTTGACACAGCACTAATGCGTGTGAACCTACACTGTCATTGTACAGTGGACGTCCAAACCTGTGCCTCTTAGCCTTTGCCACCCTGCAGCTTTTTGTTTTGCCAAAGCCTAGTTCAGGTCAGATGATGGAAAAACAACAGAGCACCATGGGAACGTCACAGAATAGCACCGAGAGTGGTCATACTGAAACTATAGGTCCAGTCCCTAGCAAACTTGATTTCTGTTTTACATTCGATTCACATCCCCTGTGGTCCTCTGCAAGTGACTCCTGGTCGCACGTGCAATCAGAGCAAATGCACAGTGCTTCGCTCCATTCATCCCTGACTGCTGACCAAATTGAATTGTCCCACGTAGCTTTTATCAAATCCGCTCACGAAAAACCTTGTTCGAAACATAATTATCACCAAACATGTGCCATGCCAAGGTTCCTTGGCAACCACTCCAACACAGGATACAGCCAGCAGCTCAGGCACAGCTTGTCAGGAGGCATTATCAAAAGTGGATGCAGCTCCGCCTCCGCCATTTCCACTGCTCTAACTCTACGCCAGCCAGGCTGCAGGAAATATCACCCCTCACGTCCTTGTCTCAGCTGTACGTGTTTGTCTCACTACGACGTCCTTGCCTCCACACGTCTAGTGCCAACTCGACACACGATTGTTTCCTACGCGAACTCTGAGCCACTGCGATAGCCCGGAGCGGCCTACATGCCGCGCGTTTTTGAAGCAATATCTACTTAAGTAAGCGTATTTCTAGCTCACATTGTCCCTGTTTCTCCATGACACGTAGTTGCCTCAGGTTTTGGTTTTCTGAAAACAATCCACACACTACGCATCGAATTCCTAAGACACCTCGGTTGCGCGGAGCGACAGCGATGACCCGGAGGAACAGCGATGACCCGGAGCGACAGCGATGACCCGGAGCGACAGCGATGACCCGGAGCGACAGCGATCGTGTGAGCACACTTCATGCACACTCCTTCCTTCTTCTAGTGGGGACCTAGTGTTTCCTCTAGTTTACTCTTCGGAACCTCTACAGGGTCAGCTGGCCCCTCCAACCCTGACAGAAGCAATAGAATCAACTTCTTCTTTGGAACAAGTATGAAATGTTTTCCCAATAGTGTCATTTTCCTTAGCTGTATTCGGGGGAACAACAACAAAGGGGTTCACAGGTTCACTTGACAAAGTAAAGGATGTCTCTCCAACATGATTTGGTCCCTTACACCGCACTACAAACAGTGGAGCAGGCAGCCAATGCTCCCCGGAACAGGAAAGTCATTGTTTCTACCAGGCTGCAGGCCCTGGCTGCAATCAAAAAGCCTCTGAGTCTGCGGACTGCAAACGGCGTTCGACAACTCCACGGTGTATGTTTTGCAGTGGCAATATACACACAGATCTATGAATTGACCAAACACATTTGATGATTTAATGATACATGGAAAAACATAATTACTGCTTACGTTGATTACTTCCTTGTCCTATGCAAACAAAACCAAAAGAACAGCGCAAACACATGCAGTCCATCGCGTCGACCCAATGCGAATTCTGCCATCTACTATGGCAGCTTGGCAAAGCTCTAGGGTCAGTCCAGGCAGAACACACTGTTTGTGAGAGATTGTAAAGACAACCCAATGAGAAGCAGGTTTGCAGTAGCGCCTCCTTGTGGTCATACATCTATCCAATCAATGCCTAACACCGGCCGGGCTTGCCAACTACAAGCAGTTGTGTGTTAAACAGTGCTCCATGCACAAACACACAGCCAGCCTATGTATCACGGTTCTCGGTTGGAACCTACTACCGGCAACCACTTGCACAGCTGACGACCACCTGCTGTGCACTGACAGCCGTCCTTCCACCCAGCACTCATTCAGTCAGAATCCTGTCCAAAATCAGGTTCTTCTCCAGCACCATCACGGACCTGCAAGGCAACACAGCAACTGTGGAGAGCGCTCCCTACCGCCTATCCTAATCCCTTACAAGCCACCTCCCTGCAGTGTCCAATTCCTGAGGACATGAGATCTGGTGTACATGACAAGGAAGCCTCGACCATGTCCAAAGTCGTGCCCACGTTTGTTTTGGAAGAGACCCGTGACTAGTGTTGATCTGCTGAAGTACTATAAATCCCAGGATGGAACATGTTACAGCATTCCAAAAGCCACCCGAATACCCTGTGCACCTCGACCACTGGACGTTCAGCTTCACGATCGATGTCACGGGGCAGGGATGCCGACGAGTTGGAATGGAGCACATTGATGACAGCTTCACTGGCTTCCTGCAGTGATTGCCAGGGACACCAGCGACCGCATACATACACCCCTCCATTGAGAACATTATATAGAGTATTTTACCACATACACAAACATTACCAGATCACAAACACACTACCCCTTTGTGAGCGTCGGCCAGTTTGAGCAGCACACGCAAACCCTTGGGTGTCCTTTGACAACGCTCCACATGCCACTGCGCCAATGAGGATGTCTTCCATGCTCTTGGCGAATGCCTTGTCAGGCGCAGGAGATTCAGACCTGCTCTTAGCCTTCTCCGGCGTGCCTGCAGACTCATCCTTCCTACGACTGGCACCAGAAACAAAGTCTTCGGCAAAGCGTCCACAAAAGATGTCCCTGTCAGAGGAGGTCACCTCTGGCGGTGTCTGAGGGCTTTTTGGATCATAGTAGCGGCTGTCACTGCTGCGCGAGACATCTGATTCACTCCTCTTCCTTGCCCCCCTCTCTTCACGCTTCACCTTCTCACTCTTCTCCACACGAGTCGACCGGGTCTCCTCCAATTGCCTCACCTCTGTGCGGGTCTCGCGCTGCCTGCGCTGCTCCTCTTTGCTCGGCTGCCTACGCCGGTCCCTGGACTTCTGCTCACCCTTGTGCTTTTTCTCCTGCCGACGCTTCGCCTCCCGTTCACTCCGGAAAGTCACTTCATCATAGAAGTGCTCAAGCTCACCCTTGGCAGCATTCACGCTGTTGCTCACAAGCTTTTCAAGCTGCGCAGGCATCTTCGGATTCTTGCGCAGTTGCCTCACTATCTCGGGCAACGTGCTCATTCTCAAAGCCATGAGGCTTGGGTAGCCAAGGAGATGAGTGCGCCTGCTCTTCCCTGTAGCCAGCCTCAGCTACATACTACACCGGCGCGTGTATTGCTGGACAGGTTGTAAGTGCACCTTTTGTTCTCACAATGTGTATGGCCACATATTGATGTCATAATGTGATCATCAATGCTTTTTGTCCACTGTTTGAATGTTTGTGTCGAAAGATTAGCTATTGTATATATATTTATTTATAAATATTTTTTAAACGAATGCTATACTATATGAATTGTCAATAGTGTTTATCTTGGACCTTCAACGAAAGTGAATCTGAAGCTCAAAGTCCCCAGGAAGCAAAACGATTGCTGCTCAGGGCAGCGCCCAGCCACAAGTTGCATTCGTTGTGAGACAAGAACTATCAGCATACACAACTAGCGGCGGTTTCTCACCCCCATTTGGTGTCAGTGAAAAACTCAATGTACTACATCTCTTGCCCCATTTTTCACCCTTTGCACCGAGCTGCTCGTAAATCTCACACAGGCGACTTTTCCATTTCCTCAGCACAGCTTCCTCAGCACAAACCATCTCCTCGCACTGCTGCGAACGTTTGGATTCTTTCCCTTTTTTCTTGAGCCTTGCTGCAGCTGCCTGCCGAAGTGCAAACAATTCCCCTCCAGTTTCATGCAGGGTGTACGTTGACAACTGCGGTAGCTTGGTGGTGCAACCTGGCGGCTGAGCCAATACAAAAATGATGGCTTCAGGTGCCAAATCCTCCACTTTAATTTGCTTCTTTGTCTTCAGCTTCAAAGTGGCCATGTTCAAGCCCAGCTGAAGCGCCAAGCTGCTCATTTGAGTTTCTGGATCCATGTCCTCACTGGCCGACTCTGATCCGGGCTCTTCTCCTTGGGGTGAACGACTCCTGGAAGACTCCCTTCTCCCACGGCTAGTCTTGCCCCTATCCTTTCTCTCACGCCGCGAGCGAGACCTGCGATGACGACCAGAAGAGCGACCTCGATGAGCTCGACCAGAAGAACGCCCTGGCTGAGCTCCAGAAGTGAGATCACCAGAACGACCCTCTTCGTTCTCATTGATCAACCGCTTGGCCATGGAAACCTTCCAGGGTTGAGACTTGTGACAGCCACACATTGTAGTAGTATGACTCAGTGCTCTGGTTCCTACATACAGTCTCTGGTCATACATCAACAAAACAAGCAGTGCGCAGCATACCTGCATCGACCAGACACACACTTCCCATTGGTCAATCAGTTCATTCAGCCATGACATTGCCTTCAGCTGACTACACTTTTAGCTGCAAACATACATTTGGTAGGCTCGCCTGCATCTCTGAAACGCACTTCTGGAAACTATGCTGCAAGCCTGCAACTGCATCGACCTTTTGTTCATCCTTCTTTGTCTCACCTTCATGAGTGTGTAATGAAGGCATCGCAAAGATCGACTTTCTCTTCGTCTCTGGCTTGCCGCTACCAGACATCTCCGAAGACAGGCCGGAAAGGAATCACTCCGACTAGAATGCACACAACCGAACGGCTACAGTAGTGAATATCAAGTGATACTGATACATTGATTTTTCACCACACGCCGATGCCACTAATGAACCATTGCACCGCAAAGAGGTCCGAAGATGTGAAGAACATTGAAATATCATAGCTCGCCTTCAACACGAAAGTCTGGTGTGTATATATTTTTCACAAATGTACATACACAAAAGTGCAGCACATGTCTTGGCCAACATGGGAATTCATCTTCAAGCGCAACAAAACTCAGAATGGCAGAGCACTCAGGGCACTGTTTGTCTACAGACCTTGCACAGTCATGTGCTCTGGCTGTATGTGGACAACTGAATTGTGCACTACCGTACTTGTTTCTACAAAACGTTCAAGCCACCACATCAAATCGATTGGTAGGTCCAACAGAAGTGGATGGCAAACATGCAGCGTGGCCAGCCATCTGAAACAGGCCAACGCTTTCAACTAGGAGCTGGGAGGCTGGGACTGTGCATAGACCGACACTCTTGATCTCACAAACCAAAGGCTGCACGAAGAGGCGATCGAGAACGCTCCCGGCCGCGATAAAGCCAGGGAGTCGATGGCGAGCTGAGGCGAGGAGGCGGAGTCACTGGCGACGGCGATGACAAAATCTGCCACTCTGCATCGTCGTCCTGGTTCTCTGCACGATCTGACACCCAAGAGACAGGACGAGTCCTTTGCCGCATGTTGTTGAAGACACCCTGCATCCGGGTAGCCTCACACAATTCTCATTGCGGCTAGTGAAGAAACTAATTGACTGCTTGCATGTTGGCAAGCCATGCCCACACACGCACACATGAATTGCTTGACACCTATCCCCTGCTTAATTTTTGCAAAGGATACTATTTGCAAACGCGTGGCAAACACTTTAGCTTATGTAGCTCATGCTCTCTCACACACGCTCATAACTTCATACAAAACAAATATAACTGTTGAATTGAATCACTCCAAACGAAGCTGGAGCAGCCGGCCGAAACACCAAAGTAGACAAGGTGTCATTGATCTCGTCAACACCCACATCTGCATGGAGCATGGTGATGACCAAGCCAAACAATGGCGGATAGGCTTGCGACTCTTTCAGGCGGCGGGTCCCACAAATCCATTTACCTCTGCGAACAGCAAGGGCACTGTTGGTAGTAGTAGGAGCCCACTCACCGCGCTCCTTCAGATCTCGCATTGTCGCCAGGTATATCCTGCCAACTGCATTGAAAAGACTGTTTGACCACACATAACTTATGCTCTGAAACGCACCGTCGAAGGCTTGGGTTTGAGTCTACCACATTTTGTCAAGACACTGTCGTACCAACAAATTTTATTTGACAAGCCTTTTACTTGTTTTGCAATACCTCGCAGGCACTTCCAAAATCCGCCCACACCGTTTGTCGGCGCAGGGCGTGCTATGGGGCTCTCTAAGCTCTGCTGCTATACAAATAGCTTTGCTAGGGGGGGGACTATTTTTTCGTGCGTGCGCGGCTATGGTTGGGCTGCAGGGCCACTGAGGAGAGCGTTTTGGATGAATTTTCGTTACGTCGTGCTTGCAGGGCCCTGGGGAGAGCATTTTGGAGGAGTTTTTGTGTTTTGGGGCGGTTGCTGCGTTGATTCTTGCTCGGCCTGCAGAGCCACTGGGGAGAGCGTTTTGGAGGTGTATTTTTGGATGGCTTTTGGCAATGCCGAAGTTGTATCACCATTATGGGCTCCAAGGTAGACGAAGTTGGCCCCAAGATGCCCCCAACGCAGCCGTAAGACAGCCAACCAGGCGCCTTTTTTTTCGCGCGTGCGTGGCTATGGTTGAGCTGCAGGGCCACTGGGGAGAGCGTTTTGGAGGAGTTTTTGTGTTTTGGGGCGGTTGCTGGGTTGATTCTTGCTCGGCTGCAGGGCCACTGGGGAGAGCGTTTTGGAGGTGTATTTTTGGATGGCTTTTGGCAAGGCCGAAGTTGTATCACTATGGTAGACGACGTTGGCCCCAAGATGGCTCCAACGCAGCCGTAAGACAGCCAACCAGGCGCCTTTTTTCGCGCGTGCATGGCTATGGTTGAGCTGCAGGGCCCCCGGGGAGAGCGTTTTGGAGGAGTTTTCGTGTTTTGGGGTGGTTGCTGCGTTGATTCTTGCTCGGCTGCAGGGCCACTGGGGAGAACGTTTTGGAGGTGTATTTTGGGATGGCTTTTGGCAAGGCCGAAGTTATATCACCATTATGGGCCCCAAGGTAGACGAAGTTGGCCCCAAGATGGCTCCAACGCAGCCGTAAGACAGCCAACCTGGCGCCTAGATGGTTGCACTTGTCCCCAACCTGGCGCCTAGATGGCTACTTCCATTTCACTAACTTCGGCTGTTCGTGCGCGGTGTGGGCGGCTGTCGACGCGAAGCATCTTGAATAACTATATAATATCTGCAGTACTTCTTCTACAGGTGCTATTTTGGGCTGTAGTGTGCAGGTTGGGTATGTTACCTTAGCTTAGCCAAATGCAAACCACACTCGGTGCCACCTGACAGCACAGTGCACTGACTGGCCCTACCCCTGAATCAAACGTTCTCTGCTCTGTTACGAGCCGCCACACATATTCGTTGCACCAATTGAACAATGCCTTTGAATGCCTTTGAGCGCAAATCTAACTAAGGGCCCTGCTGGCGCAAGTATGGCAGCCTGCCCCACGTGCCCTGGATGGTCAAAGGCTTTGTAGTCTCTGCTCCAAAAGCCCGCAAAGCAATGGGAACAGATAGCCATGGACGGGGGCCCCAGTGCCCCTCAGATTCAGAGGTTTGCGCAACTGTAATACTACGCAACAAACTCTTGATGGAAACCAATAAAGGAAAGTCCTTGTCAATAATCTCCAACAAACACAAATCTGTGTAGATTACTTGCCCTGTGTGTCTGCTCGCGTCACTTGTTGTCAACTCCCATACTAGTCCACGGTATATTTTTGCTATATCTCCCATCTCCCATTCACCTAGTGGACTCCTACTATACGCTTTCTGTGGGGACGAGCCGATGCGCTCTACATTTTGTGGCCAGTCTAAAACAGGTCCATGCATGTCTTATTGGTTTGCTTCGTTTCGCTGGCAACTTTACGTCTTTTGCATTCCTACTGAACGCCTACCTTGCACCTGAGAGAAATTGCATGTACAAAGATTAGCTAATTTTTTGATTAGAGCATACATGTTGTCTTAGCTGATTGCTCTTTAGAGGGACCCGTGCATCATTCATTGTTGCGCACGCTCTTGTGTTTGTTGGTCCAACGGCTAATACCACAAAAATAGTGTTGTTTGTTGTGTTGTACTCAACAAAGCATTGTTGGAATGTTTTCGTCATGTTCCTGCATGTGGGTTCGCTACTTACAAACATTGTTGTTTTTAGTTGAAAAGTTGACAGACCATCATTTTAGTATGCTTGGTAGGCACTTTAAAGGTCGAAGCAAAGCAACATTAGTAGAATCATTAATAGACATCCCAATGGGCGCCCTGTTCTTGTTTCTAAGTTTTGATGTGCATTTCCACAGTCCATGTATAAAAGAATTGACTGTGCATTGTCGTGCTCTTGTGTGTGTCTCCCCTCTCTGACACCATTGTCTGTACAGATCAGTAAGCTGTCTTACTGTTTGAGGGCAGTCTCCAATGGGGCGCCCACCAATCCTAACAGTCCTAACACTGCGATCATCATCATTGCCAACCTGAAAGTATTGCATCTCAACAAAGGTTGTTCTTTGGTCACACGTTCATGGTTGTACATATTGCTATCTACCCACAATTTATGTAGTGCCTTAATGCACCAGCATTTGCTTAGCCACAATTAGTTTATCAGTCTTATTTTTGCTAGCTATCATTGCCGCTTCTCGTTAAGTTATAGGTTCATTTACAACAACTAGCTGCCCTATTCATTTGTTGAGTTTTGCTTGTTGCATTTACTATTTTCAGTTAGGTTTTGCATTGTCTCAGAGTCTCAACCTGTCTTTCCTATGAACCTCACGAGCCCCTCTCACTGTCACTGTTCCTGGCATTTTTTGCAGAGGCATACTTTTCACAGCAGTTGTTGAGGGATGGCCTTCTTGACAGATCAGTACAGACCTGGTTGGTGGCCTTTCAACAGAACTTCGAAATGGTTGGAGCTACAGCGCGCCCATATACTTTTCGATTGTGAGCTACAGCGCGCCCAATCTGAAAGACTTAAGTCTGTGAACATACCCTCAACGAATGAAGAACAACGAGCAATCATCAATCCGCGACGAACACTGTTATCTTACTTAAAGGTATCTTATGCCGGACCTTGTCCAGATCAATCCTGCTACTCACCGCTTTGTTCTTGCAACCCAAAGCCTCTTTGGGGCGGCGGAACCTGGCCAAAGGCCATAATAAATCAAAACAAGTGTTTCTGTGCCTGGCGATAATGAACATGTCATATAGCCAATTCTTCAAAACCTTTTGCGCATACACATACGTAAAAGTGCAACCTACTTTCTTCCAGGGACTGGGTTGTTTGCAATGAACGGCTTCACCTCGTGTTCGATCTTGTCTTGCCTAAACAAGATTGACGATTGCGGCTGCTCGCCACCAATGTAGGCCTCCACA